TAGAATAGAATAGAATAGAATAGAATAGAATAGAATAGAATAGAAATAGAATGCAGAATAGAATGCAGAATAGAATTCTTTTATTGGCCAAGTGTCCTTGGACACACAAGGAATTTGTCTTTGGTGCAAATGCTCTCAGGGTACATAAAAAGAAAAGATACATTCGTCAAGAATCATCAGGTACAACACTTAATGGTAGTCATAGGGTACAATGAGCAATCAAATCGTACTAGGAATAGCGGGCAAAGTAGCTGGAAAGACATTTTGATTGAGAGCGTGAATGAGCGTGTGTGAAAAAGCGTGTTTATGCAAACACATCTTCTTCATTCCATTCACAATTAAGTTGCTTAATTTGTTGTCCCAGGTGCATTCTGAATTTGGGTTGGTCTACCCACGGTTATTAATGGAGTTGTCGAAATGGAACATTTGGAAGATGACAACAACCACCATAAATTTTTGATCATTTTTAAAAATATGGGGTTTTTTTGGACGATTTTTTATTTTTAAGATCATTTTTTTGGATAAGATTTTTGGCAGCTGCCCCTCCCCCCCCCCAAAAGCGAATACAATCCTCGGTTGTGTAAAAGAATTAAGGTCACGCAAAGTATCAATACCACTTGGTAAAGACCACCCTTGGAATACTGCATCCAGTTTTGGTCACCACGATGTAAAAAAGATGTTGAGATTCTAAAGAGAGCAGAGGAGAGCAACAAAATTGATTAGGGACTGGAAGCTAAAACATATGAAGAACGGTTGCAGGAATTGAGTTTGGCCACTCTAGAGAAAAGAAGGACTAGGGGTGACATGATCGCAGTATTCTAGCATTTAAGGGGCTGCCCCAAAGAAGAGGGAGTCCAGCTATTCTCCAAAGCACCTGAGGGCGGGAAAAGAAGCAATGGATGGAAACTAACCAAGGAGAGAAGCAACCTAGAACTAAGGAGGAATTTCCTGACTGTTAGAACAATTACAGCTTCGCCTCTAGAAGCTGTGCGTGCTCTATCACTGGAGGGTTTTAAGAAGAAACTAGACAGACACCTATCTGAAATGCTATCAGGTCTCCAGTTTGAGCTGTGGGCTGGACTAGAAGACCTCCAAGGCCCCTTCCAGTTCTAATCTGATTAATTAATACCGCCCACTAAGTTCCTGTCCTGTTCTGGGTAGCGTCGACCAAGTCAAGGTCCCCTAACGTTGGGAGAGTGTTGAAGATAAATTCAATTGAATTTATCGTCCACATAAATTCAGTTGAATTTATCACCAGTATCCTCCCAACATTAGGGGACCTTCCCTTGGTCGATGCTGTCCAGAAGTCGGTTGTTGGAACCAGCTCCCGAAAGGGAGGGAGGGAGGCTAATATGGAAAGGCCTCCATGCCAGAATAATTCTGATTATTCCCATTTTGCACTTGAAAGAAGAGTAAGCGGAGGCAGGTTGAGGGCAGAGAAGGGATGCCAATCTCCCCAAAGTCATCTCCCACCCTCTACCTGCGATTCTACAGCCGGTCTCGCGGATACTTCGGAAAGGCACGGTTCCACGGATAAAAGGGACGCTCCGGTAATCAGCCAAGCAGCTGATGGACTGACTTCTCCCTATTCAAGAAAGCAATATTCCTCTGATGGCCGGGCTCTGGGGAACAGTCAAATGACACCGAGGGACCGTCTCAATTACATCCAGCTTGTTGGGCAGTTGGGGAAGATCCAGATGAGCGCTTTGCAGGAGGCAAAGCCATGAACCAGGCAGGCCTTTGTTCTGATCCTACGGAGAACGTTTTCGCGAGAGCCTTAGGGTGGTGACGTGACCCGGGGATCGAAGCAAAAACGGCAAGGAAAAGCATTTCTGGCTGTGGCAGTAAAGGGCAGGGGTGTCAAACTCAAGGCCCATGGGGTTCTGGAGGGCAAAGGAGATCGCCCAGGCTTTCTTACCAAAGTGATGCTCTGCAGGGCCCCGAATGTCAACTCATAAAATATTCCTATGGTCTTTTTTAGAGTTGCCAACAGAAAGGGGACGGGGGGAAAGGGGTTTGAAAGAGCAGTGCGGCAGCTTGGAAGCCGAAAGCGCATTCCATCAATAGTTTTTCAAAGACAGTAACTAGGTGAGCGAAGTTTCTGCCGAGCAAAAATTCTAACTGGAGAGCATGATTGATGACTCTTGGCTACGGATGTGTCCCATTGGAGAATATGAATTAGGATACACCCAGGGGTGGAGGAAAACCAGGGTCAAGGGTGACAATGAATGATGTGTCTCAGAGTCGGCTACACCCAGGCAGTGCCAGACATGTTAACTCCCAATAAATCCTTTTGGAGTTTGGCTAGAGAATCATGATTTAAGAAAGTCCCAGTCGTTGAAAGGCCGTCTGGCTGAAAATGATAGAAACCAAAGTCCAAATTCAATTAGAAAGGACTGTTGGGGGTTTGAGAAGGCTGGGATGTGCACTCTGCGCAGCTTCCTAGGATGGAAGTGGCTCCGGCTGCCTCTTTCTCTGTTTATTTATGTCACCCAATTCACGCGCCGCCTTCTTGAGTGGCTGATGGCCCTGAGATCACAAACACGGCCCACATTATGAAAACAGGCGCACGGTTCCAATGTAAACCTTCGGCTACGTTTTAAGAGAGCAAACAGGAGATGCTACGTTAACAGCCACACTGCTGCGAGGCAGTCAAAGGAGAGAACGAGAGAGGAGGAAGGAGGAGGAAGGGAGATGGTTCATCTTGCCTTCTGGACCACAAATTGGTCCCGGGAGGCACAGCTGTTGGTCACTGGGAAGGAGAAATGTAGAGTGGCTTTTATCTATCGGTGCTGGACCAGCACGGCTTTCCTTCCAAAATCCTGGAGGGTGAGGACGACTTCAGGAGCCGTCTGGCTCAGGAGAAGGCAGCTGTTCCCGAAAAGCTATGGAAGAGGGCTGAGGCTTGGTGGTTTAAAAAAAAAAACCCGGCCGGCAAAGGGAGCTGGTTCAAATACCTGCCCCGATCTCTACGTTTGGCTGGGAGAAAAGGACTCCAGCTTGAAGGCTTGGCGAAGCCGTGAAGCCTTTGGGCTGAGATCAAGGGCAGCAGCGCTACTGCCAAAGCATATTGCAGCCCATGTTTTTTGCATGTCCCGCTGGAGCTTCCGGAAAAGAAAAAGGGGAAAAAAAGGAGGGGGGGGCGGGGGATCTCAAATCCCTTGTTAAGAGGTGAGGGGGGGTGGGGGGGTCTGGGGCAGCTGAAAAGGATGAGGAGGAAGTGGGAAAGCCTTTGATGCCAAAAGGCGAGGGGAAAAAAAAGAGAGGATAAAGAGCTGGGGAATGTGGAGAGAGGGAGAGAGAGGGAGAGAGAGAAAGAAGGGAGAGGGAGAGAGAAAAATAAAAGGGAGAAAAAAAGAGACAGAGAGGAGAGAAAAGAAAGAGAGAGAAAAAGAAAGAGAGGGAGAGAGAAAAATAAAAGGGAGAAAGGGAGAGGGAGAGAAAAAAGAGACAGAGAGGAGAGAAAAGAGAGAGAGAGAGAAAGAAAGAGAGAGAGAGAGGGGGAAAGAAACATAGGGAGAGAGAAAAATAAAAGAGAGAAAGAGAGAGGGAGAGAAAGAAAGAAAGAGACAGAGAGAAAAGAAAGAGAGCGAAAAAGAAAGAGAGAGAGGGAGAGAGAGAAAGAAGGAGAGGGAGAGAGAAAAATAAAAGAGAAAGAGAGAGGGAGAGAAAAAAGAAAGAGACAGAGGAGAGAAAAGAGAGAAAGAGAAAAAGAAAGAGAGAGAGAGGGGGGGAAAGAAACATAGGGAGAGAGAAAAATAAAAGAGAGAAAGAGAGAGGGAGAGAAAGAAAGAGACAGAGAGAAAAGAAAGAGAGCGAAAAAGAAAGAGAGGGAGAGAGAAAGAAAGATAGGGAGAGAGAAAAAT